CGGGGAACTCTGCAAAAAACGCATCTTCGCACGGGCAGCCCGTGCGTTGGCCATTTATTTTGGTTTAGTAGGCTTTACTTCCGCTGTAGTTACACGGTTACACAGTTGTGAGGATTTGAGGTATATTTAAAGTCGTTATCGGATTTTACGAGCCGCTTTCAGTATTTTTTTCACCAGATTAAGCTAGATCTGATCCGTTGCTTAATCTCAACTTGTCTGCGAGGTTTTTTGTCATGTCACCCTCGCAACATTACAGGTTTTACCGTTTGGTCAGCATTTGCGAGTTTAGCTCCTTGCATCTACCTGTAGCGTGATTGTTCTGAAATGGATTTCAAAGACGCGGATTATATCTGACCTGTCTGCGTAATCCTAGTTTCTTGGCACCAAGGATTAGTGTGTAAGCTCAAACTTCGTATGCTTCATAATTATTCTTAATTTATGGGCATAAAATTTCAGGGACCTCAGAGAAACCGCGGCTGAAAGTAGTGAAGCGCTTCATTCCGGTGCTGCAGCGAACAAGTCGAGATAAGAAAGAAGATTCAGGTGAGAATGGTGCCACAGCTGCTGTTGTGATAATTTGCAAAGAAAGTTTATTGCAGAGCTGGAAGAAGACAAAGCATACGCTGCGAAACTGATCCGCGCAAACCGACACTTCGATGAGCTAGTGCACGATTTGAACGATAAAACTATCAAATTCATGAGACATAGCGCCACCGCTGCTGTTAGTTTCTCCCAAATATTCTTACTGTATCGTATAATTCATTACGCTGCGCTCCTCAACAATGTTCGCGTGTATATCGAAAAACTTCATCCCTTTAAATCATTAGATGCAACGAAACCATTTTTGCGGAATCGTTTTTGCTCAGCTTCCTTTTTTCAGTCTGCCTCACGACTCAAGGATTTAAGCGCGTCAATTTATTTAAGACCAATTTTCTTTCTTTTAAGTACCACTTACTAGTTTACTTTGTCCATCGGTCATCAGCAAAGTGACCAAAATATTTCGTTCAGCGATTTTTCTTGTCTTTAATATTCTGCACACTAACCTCCATTACATTCGGATACCAAAATTACTTTAGTCACCAACTTTGCAGCAGTACAATTTTGTTTTACATGCGGCATATTTATATACAAAGAGGCACATAGAGGTTTTAGAAGGGTCATGTTTTTCGTTGTAAGTTGCTCGCGTGTGAGGCTCCTGTATGATCGTACACATACCGGCGTTTGTCAAGATGTAGAAGTACACGCTGTGAACAAAGTAAGGTGGCGAACATTTCAGAAATTTTCAGAATAAGGTTTTTTTCCATTGCTGCTTGTGTGAGAGAAGGCAGCGACAGATTTTTTGCCAAAGAAAAAATAGTGCGAGGCTTTGTCACTCCCTTTCAACTCAGCATTCGGGAATGCTGGGAGGTGAAAATTCTGCGAGAGTGTTCCCAGCACACATATCATCTTACTACGTGAAATCATTGTTCATTTTACCGCAGACTCAAAAGCGAGTACATTTTGCGGGTTTCATAATCCTTCTCTTGTCGGATCTGCATTTTTTGATGAACGATCACTCAACTGAAAAGAGGACTGGGCTTCATGCAAACTTTGGAACGCACCAGGTTAGCTGGTGCTACCATGCGTTTTTGCACAGTTTCCCGCGGATGTTTAGTGCTGCAGTGACACGATTTGCGCTCGCGTTGGCTTCACTAAATGCCTTGTACGCTGACGCTCGTATCCACACGGAAGCAGTGAAGTGTTTCTTTGGTAAGATATAGATGTACACAGATGCTTTATGCTCCCGCAATCATTCATAATTTGGGAATATTCACTTAAAAGTGTAACTTACCATTCCGTCCAGGCAGAGCGATACGAGGATGCCAGCGGTTTTGGAGCCTGAGTTTTGCTGTATTGGCATGCGGGACGTAGATGTTATCGTGCACTTGGTAGCGGATA